AAGAAAAGATTTCATTAAAAAAGAAAAATAGTTCAAGCTGTTAAGCTGTTAAGGCAATAGCTACCAACAAAACATGCACATAAAAAAACAAATCAAAATAAACCATCAAAATTACAAAATTGCAACTCCAAATCTTCCCAAAGCCTATCCCCAAGATCTTCTTTATTAACTTGTGCAAATTCTGGAAGCACCAAAACCCAGTCAGAAATTCCACAAACCACCACCAGCCAATCCAAACTCCAAGCCTTGTCTTCAAACACTCTTCTATTTCTTTCCTAAGCTCAGTTTTGAAAGAGTACAAATACAAACATGTACAGAGCAAATACATACAAAATGCAAGGTCTTGTACTCTACATATTTGTATTGAGCATTCCAGACAATCCAGCAATTAGCAAAAGGGACACAGCTCCAAATCAGCCTAGCCTTCTTACCCTCTCTGATCTTTCACCAAGAAGAGAATATCACTGAAGGTGCCCTTGGACGAAAGCTCCTTACACCGAACAATGCTGTGAACAAATGGATAATTCCACAGGAATCCAGTAATCATGCAAAAGATAAATAACAAACTGGTTCCTCTTGTCCTTTGCACAGGTAACAAATGTTAGTCATACTGAAGCCTCTACTTTTCAAATGATCCACGATCAAGACACCATCCACAGTAACAAGCCATGCAAAGGCTTCCACCCTCAGAGGGACAGGGTTATCCCAAAACTCTTTCAGCCTAGTTTGAATCCAATTAGTTTCTGAAAAGGGCTAAATGGTGATTTAACAAAATAAAAATCCATTTGAGCATTCCTTCCACCACATCTCATCCCTTGAGTGACTTGAAACCTTTGCAATGTAGTCTAACATGCATAGAGCATTTTTTGGCACGTACATTCAATGACATCCAACAGAAAGAAAGATACTTAGCCCTTAGCCCTTCAGATTTTCTCCAAGAGGCAAAAGCCTTTGCTACTCTCTTGAAAACCTTGTTCAGGATTGCCCCTTGATCAGCAGATGATTTAGCAAATTAACTTGCTACAGCTTGGTTTGGGAAACAAATTCTAGTTTCAGGGAACAAGCTCTAGTTTATCTTTATTTTTGTTTAGTTCAGCTCCAATCTGTATTGTATTTCAATATACTTTGTTCCCTGCTTTTTTATCAATAACTGAGCATTTTATTAATGCAAATTAGGATGTACATATTACAAGCATCAATGGAAGAGATAAAAAGCTTTATCTCCCCATAAAATTATGAATTATCCTTACAATAGTGCCGAAAAGATTTGCTCCCTCCCCACCCCTTGCTTGGCTGGTTCATCATCCATGCTATTAAATGTCCTTCGAACTCATTGAAATTTCACTTCCATCTCTAGTCTGCCAATAAGAACAATTTTAGCTCATTTCTATGCTGCTATAGAGCTGCATCCCCACTCTGTAACCACTATATCACCAACTTAGAGTCTCCCTCAATAATCATCTTATTTACATTCATCATTCTTGCTCTTCGAACACCCTTCCGTAACAGCCATGGTCTCTGCTCTTAGAGAATCCCCTACTCCAATAGGTGGTAAAATTGAGTGCCACTATAATCCCTCTCTCATCTATAGACATGCCTCCAATCCCTCAAGGTCCCAAATTTCCTCTACTGCTGCCATCAAAGTTGAGCTTGATGAACCCTTCGGGGAGTCCAAATTTTGCAAGTCCGATTCTTTTTTTGTAGAAGTTCCTGCCACCTCTCTCTCCATGTTCTCAAAACGTCATCTACCGAAAAAGTTGAGAAGCTCACCAAGGAATTGGCCCAATGAGCAACTCTAATAGCAATACACTATTACTGCTTCTAGATTTCTTTCTTTTTCTTTGAAAATCCAAGCATTTCTATCCTCCCAAACTGTCCATAATATTGCTGCTCTAATACATTTTCATAAAATCCTCCCCCTCTTCTTTGGCCACCTGAAAAACAGGAAGTGCAAAGAGACCTGGCGTGCTAGAAGGACTCGACCACCTACAACCAAATAAAGAAAGAAACCAAACCCACCAAATACAAGAAACAAAAAGACATGAGACTAACAAGTGATAAAATATGTCACCATAAGCTTTGCAAAGTAAACACCAAGAAAAGAGAGTCAAAAATTAGGTCTCCTTTTCTATAGGTCACATGTGTTAAATTTCTCATGGAAAACCTCCCAACAAAAAGCACCAACTCTCGGAGAGATCAGTCTACACTCTACAAAGCTCTTTCACAAGAAGAGGATGTGTGGTTATGGACGACTGTGAGCAGACTTCAAAGAAGGCAAGAGAAAGAGCCAAGGGACAATAGAGTCCAAAGCGTAGAGGGAATTCAGAAACACCCCATCAAGAATTTTGTGTCTGCTATATTAGGCCTTCCTAGTAGTAGGGATCTTCCTATTTTTCTATACTCTTCTATCTATTAATAACTAATACAACTGCAGACAGTGGCTCCAAAACACCAAAACACCTAAATGATTTAATGTGAAATAAACCCTTAAGGGTACTTCTTGAGTCCTTATTATTCTGAAGAATGATCAGTGTAAACAAGAAATTGGCATTTATCACAATGTATCCTGCATCTGTATTACTTCTGCTGTATCATTTAGATAACTTGAGAGGGCAACAAAGATCACCATTACAACAAGCACAAACCTGGACTCTTACGTGCAATATATATACATATATAGCAAGCCTCTAATTAGTAGGCCAGAAGTTGCAAAGTTCCAGATAAGGCCAACATTATCACAAAACTATGAAAATTTAAAAGTTTTGCCCTGTGATGAGATCTGAAGCATTCTTGCTATGTTGGCTTAATGCAAAGCCACAAAATTAAAAAGAACATCTTGACTCTGAAATCAGGATGCAAATCTGCATTTCATAATTTAATTTTGAATAGATCTTACTGCACTATCAATAAATTAATGAAATTTATTAAACCCTTTTCTCTGTTTTTCCCACTGAGCTGAGGGTTAGGAAAGCATTCTCTGACCTCATTTAATTCTAAAAATAACAGACTATTTGTCTTCTTGTTCTACTGAACACAATTCAATTTGGGATATGCTTATCTGATGTAAAAAAAATAGTTGGTAACCACATTGGAGAAAGCAAAACAGACCTCAAGCTGAGGTAACATTAGTAATGTTTAAACAATAGCAGATCCTATGCGAAAGCAATTTCTCACATTTCCTCATCTAATCATTTCCTTGTTTATTGCATCATTGCATGGTTTAAAATGTCCCTAATTTCCCTAATACTCCCACAACATATTTCCATTTCCATGTGTAGTGACATGAAATTTTACCAGAACGGGCATTTCCCAAATGAACACTACCAGCACTATGTGGAGTACAGGAGATAGTTTCCACAACATATTTCCATTTCCACTTCCATGGGTAGCAACATGAAATTTTTACTAGAATCGAAATATTCCCCAGTTGAACACTACCAGTACTATGTGGAATACAAGAGATAGTATTATAACATAAGTTCATGACAATATTGTAGATATGTGAAGTAACAAGTTATTGTCCACCTAACTTACATGATTAGAACTTTGAGCTAGCTATTCATTTCAAACATGAAATCAAATATTAGTTTTTGTTAGGGGTGCAACTTGGGCAAGCACAACCCGAGCCCGAACTGGCCCAGCCCAAAATTTTACACTGGTTGGGCTTGGATTTTTGGTCCTCGGGCTGAGCTCGGGCCCAAGAAGTCGGGCTTTTTAATTTTTCAGGTCAGGCCCGGACCTAGCCCTTAGGTAGCCCAAACCCGGCCCGAGCCCCGCCCAACTATACACATTCATACAAACATATATATGTATGTATGTATGTATATATATACACATTTGTATACATATTTACCCATATAAATACATATTTTGCATACATATTTACATATGTACATAAACATATGTATACATATTTGCATAAATACATACATATATATATATATATGTATGTATAATTTTAGAGTGGGTTCATCATGGTTTTCAAATCAAACCACTATTGACCTAGATGGTCGGACCGTTCGGCACGGGAACCGTCTAGGTAATTGGTTTCATTTTACCCCAAGCCCGGTCCCTGGCCAAAAACTATTGAATCGGTCAATGACCCATTGACCCAGGCAATCAAACCGTTGACTCATTCAACAGTTTTTGGTAGTTTTTTATCTTTTTTTTTTTTGTCAGAATGGGTCGTCTATTCAAACCGAATGATCGAACCGTTGACTCATTCCGGTTCCGGGTTGTTTTTTAAAACATTGGGGTTCATTAACCAACCTGGCCTGGGCCCAAGCCCAACCCAAAAACATCAAATTACAATGCAGGTTGGGCTTGGGTTGGAAAAATTGGCCTTGACCTTGGGCTCGATCTGGGTTCGGGCCTTAAGCCCAAATTTTAGGGTTGGGCCCAAGTTAACCATAAACTCAGCCCAACCCGCCCGACTTGCACCCCTAGTTTTTGTTTGTGTAATAGATTATTTGGTTTACCTATTACAACCATTAACCATTATATTTTCTCTGAGTTTAAATTTTGCTTTAATTCATTCTATCATGAAGCTCTGAACCTTAAGGTTTACAAGGCAACTTCATAATCATAACGTATTATTTTGTCTATAACCTTAGTTTCTTAGCTTTTTTAATGATTTGGAACAAGATTATATTTTAAAAAGCTATGCCTATGCTTCTTTTATCATTTCATAAAATGTCATTCTATATTTTGCATATTTTATAATGTTTCTACCGTGTCTACAATTTTTACAATATTTCCAACACTTCCGACGTGTTTCTTATATTTAGATGACCGGCATTTCCACCACATCGACATTTAAAACCTTGGTTTATTGGTGGGATATTCTGAATTTAGTAGGCATTCACTACACAGTTTAGTGCACTTTTCAATCACGTCATACTGATAAAACAATTAAAGAAATGATAGCTAAATCTAAAAGTTGTCCATGTGATTAGCAAAAAAGATGGTACTGTACATAAAGAAAGGATCAAGTGGGAAACCTGCAAAGCTCTTCCATAAAACTGACGCTTCCGAAGATTGTGCAATGCAAGCCATATCTCAGATCGACTCAATTCATTCCCTTCCTCAACCCATTTATCAAGAGTACCATGAATTGACAGGCCTGGAGCATCCATTATAACTTTGAACAACTCTGAATAGCCCTTTTTCTTCAGCGACTCTTTCTCATCACCAATATCAGTATCCAACTCCTCAGGTTCATCATGGGAAACATCCCCCAAATTCTCTTCAACATCATCGCCCGAGAGCTCTGGCTCAGAACCTAACTCCTCATCAATGTCCTCCCCTACAGCATCCTCTGCAATCTCTCCCGTGCTAACTGGAGCTTCAAGCTCAGAAAATTCATCTTCCTCCCCGCTACTTTTAGTACCAGCCTGCGAAGAAAGGCTACAGTTCCCCAGAGAGAACCTTGCATTAAGATACGAAGTGTGGTGAAACCTCTCCAGGGGAATGCTTTTACCAGGTACAAATTGTGTAGACTCACAAACACCAACACTGTGTTCTACATCATCGCTTACTATAACGAATCTAGCACAAGCTCGAGAGACACCCCCGCGAAATCCTTGACTCCTGAAAGTGCAAACATGTTAAAATAATCCCAACCATAAGAACTCTCAGGATAAAACAAACACACAGAGTAGGAGTAAGAAAGAGGTGGAATTGCTTATACACAAAACCCAGAAAAAGCAAATACGAATGCTGCTAGAATTTGACAAAAACCCATTTGATAAATTGAAGAAATAGATGCTTTCATGCGAACTTAAACAATTTCACCTAGAAAAGGAAATGGTGAAAACAGAACATGAAATGGATAAAAAGGCTCCACCTGAGAGGATGAGCAGCTCTACGAAGTGCCCACATCATGATTCTACGTCCACCCTAACAAAAGTCAAAATTTCATAAACCCTACGGTTCAGTGGTCTGAACAAAGAACTCCCATCTGTAAAACCCTAAAGCCAAAACCTTCTTCGAAAATCGAAAGTTCGAAGTTCGAACTTCTAGTTCTAGGGCCGTAATCGGGTTAGGATTCGGGTCATATCACTCATATTTGAATACGATCTTACTAATATTTGAATTCGAATTGAATGTTATCACTTAGATTTGACATTTATTATTCACCCAAAATATCTAATCTAACTATATCCGAGGTGTTTAAGAGGACCTCGTGTGGTATTTTAATGGTGACATGTGTCCCTTTTATTAGATTATTCCCATTCTCCGTTTTAATCAGTTCACATATCTCCCTTTCTCTACTTCACCCATCTCCCCTCCACCCTCTCTCTTATTTTTTAAATTTGTTTTTTCTCTTTTTTTCTCTTTTTTTCTCTTCTCTCATTTCCTACAATCTCTTACTTTCATGATGAGAAGTTTGCCAAGTAGACTTGTTCATGGGTTGGGCTTCGAAACTGATTTATACTATATCGGGCTCGGGTTTTGGGCCAGGCCACATTTAAATTTTGACAAAAACTAAGCCCGAGCCCAACTCATGAATAAGTTTATTGCCAAGAAATCTCTCTCTTCCCTTGTATTATCACTTATCTTGATGATTCTCTCTCCTCCCCTTTGATTCCCTCACATTTTCTTCCTTCTCTTTCGGTTCACCTCTCCTAAGGTTTTTATTTTCTCTCTTTCGCTTCGTCCACTCTCAACCTAAATGCTTTCCCTTCTTCCCTCTTCTGCCTCTCTCTTCCCTTCCACTCTCAACCAAGGGAAGTTGACAAACCAAATAATATCTTTGGTTGATCTCCTTCGTCTCAGAAAGACTTCACAAACCTGATAAGGTCTCAATCTGACTTGCCTCTTCACCCGAAATGAAAGTCTAGGGGTTTGGGACAAGGATACACCTATAGCCCATTATCAAAAAAATCCCAACGTTCATGAAAAGCCTATGACTGATTTGACCTTTCACCTAGGATGGGGTGTAGGGGTTTGGGAGAGGGTTACATTTGTAACCCATTACCTAAAAAAACTCCCAACGTCCACAAGCTAAAGATTTCTTTCGACTTTGAGCATCATTCTTTTTTAATCCAATCTAAGTATATCCTTATAATGGTCGAGGTGTTTAGGAGGGGTTTCTCTGTTCGACATGCATCGTATTTGAATGGTCTCACATGTCCCTTTTATTAGATTCTTACCCTTTTCTCTCTTCCCTTGCGACTCCCTCTCTTTCAGTTCACCTATATTATGGTTTTCATTTTTTTTTCTTTCTTTTTCCTTCTCTCTTTTGCTTCATCATTCTCAAACCAAACGATCTCCCTTATTCCCTCCTCTGTCTCTCTTTCTCACTCTCTCTCTCTCTTCCCTTCCACTCTCAAGCAAGGGAAGTTGATAGACCAGATAATATCTATGTTTAATGTCCTCTATATCTCTCCCCTCTCTCTCTCTCTCTTCCTTTCATTCAACCTAAGGGAAAGCGACAAAAACTTCATGTACAGACCCGATAAGGTCTCGGGCTAACCCACCTCTTCACCCGAAAATGGTTGAGGTGTGTAGGGGTTCCTATGTTTGACATGTGTTGTATTTGAATGGTGGCATGTGTCCCTTTTATTAAATTCTTCCAATTCTCCATTTCTTTCTGGCTCACCCATCCCTCTCTCTTTGTTCACCTTCTCTTACTTTCCAATTTTTTCTCCCTCTCTCTTTCCCCTATGCCTCCTATTTCCATCAATCTTTTTCAGCTTGCCTTCTCGGAGAGAATCTTGTCAAGCAATCTCTCTCTCTCTCTCCCCTTAATATCTTCACTTCTCTCGATGATTTTCTCTCTTATCTTTCTCCTCCCTCTCATTTTCTTCCCTTTCTTTCAGTTCACCTCTCATGTGATTTTCATTTGTTTTCTCTTCCTTCTTTCCCTCTCTCTTTTCCCTTGTCACTTCCAATCCAAATGCTCTCCCTTTTTCCCTCTACCTTGTCACTTCCTTCTTCCCCTCTAAAACCTCCCTTGAAGTTTCTGACCATTGTTAAAATCTTCCTTGAAATTTGGTAATTGCAATTGCCTCCCTTGAACTTTCTAATATAGTTGCAAGTAGACCCCCTCTCTTAAAATCCTCTAACAAGAGGCACACAAGTGTCCAAAATACCCATGCAGTTAGGGGTGTCAATTGGATTGGATTTGGCCCAATTTGATCCAATCCAATGTAAGTCTATTACAAATGAACCAGGTCCAATCCAATCCAATGCATAATTTGGACCATTTTGGACCGGTCCAATTCAATTTCTAGACCGTCCAATTTGTTCAAATTCATTTTAATGTAGATTGGTTTCAACCCAAACCCAAATTCGTTTTAATGAATTGGATATTGGCTTAATCCAACCAAATCTAATATAAATTTATTATAGACGAACTAGGTCCAGTCCAATCTAATAAATATTTTGGATCAGATTGGTCCAATCCACCATGTCTTTTTCATCTGTCCAATTTGATTTTGGATTGGATAGGGTCCTATACAAAACCAATCCATTGACACCCTTACATGTAGTTACTATTGAGGCTGGTTTTTGCATAACAAACAATGCAAACTTTATGAGCAACAACAACAAAAAAGGAAGTTTAAATTGCAACTTCGATGGATTCATATGAAAGGAAAATTTAAAAAATACATCAATTTCGTAAAAAGAGATTGGAAGGGTTTGTGGTAGTGATTGATATGAAGGAAAATTTTGAAAAATAAACATTTTAGTCAAATTAACTACATGGTTATTTTGGACATTTTCAGGCCTCTTGTTTGAGGAATGAGGATTATAAGATAAGGAGTCCACTTGCAATTGTGTTACAAAGTTCAGAGGAGGTGATTACAATTACCAGACTTTAGGGGAGGTTTCAGCAATGGTCAAAAACAGGGGTTTTAGAATTTTACCCCTTAAAAAACATGGGTTTCATTTTGTTAAAAAGTATTTGATAAAGGTCTAATTATTAGAATTTATTAAACAAAAAATACCTTAAATACAAGATTTAATGTGAGAGAATGTGAGTAAATACCTTAAATGTACAACCTAATGAGAGGGAATTAAGTGATGTACAAATTTGTAAATGATATTACATATTAGGCCTCATAATTAAAGAGGGACTAAATTCAAAAATAGGGGTAGTTTTGTTAAAAAAAAGTTTCACACCCTTATTATTGTTTAATATGTCAAATGTATGATGTTAAAAATGTTTTCAATTTTTTCTTTAATTTCTATATTTTTGCATTTTATCTATTTTTGAATTTTTATTGTTTATTTGTGCTTTTGTGCCAACATGAGTTAGCCCATTTGACCCAAAATGGTTTAATTTTTATCACCGCCTAGATGAAAACACTATTTTTTTCATTTACATTTTAAAAGCATAAGTTTTTATGTTATTGGAATTATTAATTTATTATGTATGGATTTAAGTATGGAGAATGACGGTGTAGCCCAGGGTCAAAATTTTTAGGCCCAAAGTATAGTTGGGGTGGGTGCCAGCTCGAAATTAATGCCAATTCACGGGCGGGAATTGGTGTATAGAGTGGGGTTTTTGACATTTTGAATGTTATATCTATAGTTTAATTCAAAAATCTGCATTAGGCATGTCCGTACTTTTTTTATTTAAGTAGTAGAATTTACCGATGAGAATAAATAAAAATTCTTTAAATATATGATTCAATGAGGATGAATGGGAGTTAATACCTTAAATGTGGGATTTAATGAAAGGGAATTGAATAATAGTATTCAAATTACATTTTCTACCTTCATAACAGAGGGACCATATTTCAAAAAGGGAGTATTTTGGTTAAGAAAATTTTTAGAAATTTTAGAGGCTATTCATACTTTTTATAGTGGTATAGATTTCCCCCCTTCTCCATACCTCTTGGCTCACTTATCCCCCCTCTCTTGGCTCACCACCGCTTACTTTCCAATTTTTTCTCCTTCTCATTTCCTTTAATCTCTTTTATTTTACCTTCCCAAGGAGGAGCTTGATGAGCAAGCTTTCTCTCTCTTCCCCTGTATTCTCACTTCTCTCGATGATTTATCTCTCTTCCCTTTTTCCTCTCTCTCATTTTCTTCCATTTCTTTCAGTTCACCTCTTCAAATGTTTTCATTTTTTTTTCTCTTCCTTCCCCTCTCTCTTCTGCTTCATCCACTTTGAATCCAAACAGTCTCCCTTCTTCCTTTCTCTATCTCTCTCTTCTCTTCCACTCTTAACCAAGGGAAGTTGATAGACCAGATAATATCTCTGGTTGATCTCCTCTATCTCTCTCCTCCTTCATTCAACCCAAGGGAATCTGACAAAGATTTCAAAGACTTAATAAGCATAAACTTCACAAACTTGATAAGGTATGAGGGTGACCCACCTCTTCACCCAAAATGGGGGTCTAGGGATTTGGAAGAGGGTTATGCCTATAGTCCATTACCTAAAAAATCCCAACATTTACGGAAGCGTATGGTTGATTTGCCATTTCACCTAGGATGTGGGTTTAGGTGTTTGGGAGAGGGTTACGCCTATCCAATGAAAATTCTAAAATCCAGGGATACCTATATGCACTTTTATAGATAGCATAAATCTATACTATATATAAGAGTGTGAATGTAGTGTGAAACTTTTTTTGGACTAAAATTACCCTCTATTTCTCAGTTTGAGAAAAGTATAGCTTTAATGACAACTTTAATGACTACTAAAATGGCCATATTTGTGTATTTAATCTATTTCTAATTCTAAGGGTTGAAAATGTAACTTCAATTATTACTTTCCACATCATTTAACTTCAGTTATTACTAAAATGGGCCAATGACTTAACGCGCTCAGATATGTTTCAGATCGCAATGAAAGATAAAAATACCCATTTACAATTTTGTAAATAACTCATTATGCCCCTCATTTAACTCAAAAATAGGGCATTTGATCCTTCATTTTCTTCACTCAGCACAATAGGTGAACCAGTGATTATAAGTTTCTCCCTTTGGAAAACTTCTCCACCCCTTTACAGTTACGACAGCTAGATCTGAGCAGGAAGACACTAGGGTGCAAGGAGGACGA